ATCACACTTGCTATGTTCTCAGCGGTCTGGCGGTAGCGCAAGCTTACTCGGCCACCCGCGAACCCGATGGGATACTTGGAGGAGCCCAAAACAGTGTGGTAGGTATACATGCTGTCAAGTTATGGATGCTGCCTTCCTATCCGATTCCTTGCCTGTCCATCCAGCACTTTCTTTTTGTAAGAAATACGGTTTATTATGTCGAGGAAGGATGAATTTTTCTTCTCACGTCTGATTCAGTTTTCAGCTTTTGCCGTTTCTCACTTTTCACCCTATTTGTTTATTGTTGTTTCCTTAAATTTTTCTTTTTTTTGTTTTTCTCCACGTGGCTGAAATATGCATTTATTTCGAATAGTCATCATAAACGAAAGTGCTCGAGCTTCTTCCAACGGATCCCAGCAGGTTTCGTGATTTTATCTCTTCAGGTACCCATCAACCCAGTTTTCAACCTCACCACTCTAAGCGAGCAATTTGCCATAAGTTTCTTTGGAAGAGGTGGCCGCTGAAAACGTTACAATCGAAGTCACTGAAGCCATCCTATGGAGTCACTACAGCCACTAAGTTGTGCGAAATCTTTCCCAGTGAACTGCGTTTTTCAAATTCTTGATTTTTTTAATTGTTGCACGAGCCTCGTTTATCGATCATGTATGTCACCGCCTTTTTATTCTTTTTTGTTATCTTTTGCCATTCGCTTGAGTAGCTCACTACGTGAGCACAGCAATAAATTTTGATTATATCGTCACGTTTCTTGAGGTTAGTTGTACCCAGCATCTATATCTTGTGAAATTTTTCCAACAAGCAACGCATGACTAATTTCTGCATGGATTAAAATGTCCCTCACATTCAAGTTGGGTCTATTTCCAAAATGGCGGAGGATTTGAAGAAGATAAAGAAGAAGAAAAACAAGTTCAAAAAAGTGAGTCGTGCACTGGACTGCATTTTATGTAAAACAGTCTGATTATTGAAAGTGTTTTTGAGGGCGCCGATCAAGCCAATTCCAACGAGTTGAAGCCGAAAAAGAAAGAGTTTACGGTGTCTCCGAATCCAGGGAGTAGCGGCAAAAAACACAAGGCGGACGGTTTGAATCAACCATTGGTGAAGCATCGTGAGGGTCAGAAATGGTACAGCTATCAGGTTGGTTCACTTACTTTCGGTATTTTAATATTACTACCGCTAACCTCTGAAGTATTTAACATTAAACAGTCTGCTAGAGGACATTCATTCAGTCTTGGTTGGTTAGATCCAACGCACATTTATATTTAGTGTTCAGTAGCGGCCACGGAGTGATACAGAGTAGTCCGTCGCCCGGAGTTGAGGGTCGTGAGCGAATGAGGCGGGAGTGTTCTGTTTATGAACAGGTCTCACTGATTTGAAAATTCATGTATCATGATTTTTATAATCGATGATTCCCATCATATACTCTTGGGTTATATCTGTGCTATTTATTTTGCATAGCTTTATGAGAAGAGGCATGACTTTTCTTCTTAAACTGATGTTGATCCTCCACAACCCCGTAAGTCATAGATTTAGGATTCCTCTCATCACACGGGTCTTGCTTAGCCCAGCTGCACGTGGTTAATTCGCCGCAAAGGTTCGAACTCGACCTTTTTCAAAAAAACAAGCTCTTATCTGCAAAACCTAGAAGGGTTCAAAAAAGACAAGAATTCTGTCTTTGACTGAAGATCAAGACATCCCCTCCCTCCAAACCAACATAACCAACTATTAAAATGAAGCGGTCTTACTTTCTGTGTGGTGTTTGAGTGTCGCCGCGCTCTATGTGCGCAATAAGAAAATCATATAAATATAATGTACTATCCTAAGATTGGGCTGCGCCATCCACTCTCCTAGTCCTACGCCTCGCCCGCAACTCAAGCGTATCACATACGCCTACGAACAGAATGTGCTTTTCTGCACAACCGTGCTTTCCTTCTCAGCATCACACCTCGCCAGTCGCCCTCTTGTGCTCATCGCAATCATGCTCATAGGCTCTCCACTTGACCAGAACAAACACCGAGGGCATCTAGGACTCTTGCGGAGTCGCTGCCCATACTTATGCGCGTAGCCGTCCTATGTCGCCCTATTCCACAACTGAAAACCGTATTTATTTTCAGCGATACTTGAGGAAATTTTTCTTAATCACTTCCTGCCATCGAATCGGAAACTTGTCCCTTTCAGTGGGGTGAGACTTTGCTTTCAAAATTATCTTTGCTATTTCTCATTTTTGCATATTATTGCTTTTTCTGTCAGAGTGTTTTTCAGTGGGTGACTTGTGACATTGAATTATTTTCTTTCAGCGCCCCTTGAAGAGAATTGGGGAGATTTGTTCCAACAGCAAGGACGGTAGAAAAAGACTGCTAGTTCTTTGGCGGTTTGAACATAAACTTAAGCTAGTTTATGAGAGGTTTCTGCGGGCGGTCGAGGTTCGTGTTTCTTTGAAGTTTACGCTTACTCTTTTGCTGTTTTGATTATTTCTGGACATAATTGGTGTGTTGTTACTTTTTTTCTTGTTATTTCATTTACTAGAGTTTCCCATTCAGGGCTTAGCCTCGTTGGTTGTTGAAGACCTAAGCAAGCGAGCGCTACGCACTGCTCTCAACCTTCTTGCCGAGCGTCCTGAGGGTGAAAGGGTTTGTTCTCTTCTTATGGTTTCGAATTAGGCATTGGTAATTGTAAAGGGCCATTTCAGTTCCTTTTGAGTATGCTGGTGAACAAAATGGGACACCCAAAGGCTCATATTGGTGCTTTTGTTGCAACGTTGCTCGAAGATCTCACGAAGCGGCAGCCGAAAATGCGCTCTGTCGTTGTAGCCGAAGTGGAGCGGCTGATTTATAGGTACGTGATGGGAGAAGCTTTCTTTCGAGCTATGCTGAATATCTATTTTTAAGGACAAATGTGAGTCCCAAGGCACATGTGTATGCGTCGACATTCCTTTCGCAGGTTGGTTTGGTCGCCACTACATTTGTTCCAGGACTCGCTCATTTCCTACTTTTACACTTTTCTCTCTCGATTGTGTTTCCGCTTGTAACCAAGTAGTACACTTTTCATAATACCTTGTTTTGAAAACGGTTCGAGCTGATCACAACCTCCCCTTCTAATTTTACAGATCCTTTTGCATGCGGAAGACTCGTCGCTTGCTGTACAACTGCTGTCAATTTACTTTGGTCTGTTCAAAACCCTTGTCAATCGCAAACTTCCTGACAATCGGCTCATAGGAATTCTTCTATCTGCTGCAAACCGTGCGCTTCCATTCGCAAAAGGTTTGTTCACAGTGAAATTGGTGACGTCAAGCTTGAGAACGTTGTTCTTTTGTTTTGAATCAATTGGATATTCAGAGAAAGCCGATTCATTGGTTGAGGATATCAATACGTTGTATAAGATTGTCCATACAAGCTCTTATTCGGTATCGCTGCAAACACTGAAACTGTTATTTCAAGTGCATCAAATAAGGTACCCGTCTAACTATGATTTATCATGAGGTTTCTCTCATTTTTCTTTGAAAATCCTTAAATTGGCTTAGATAGGCTTATAACGGTGCTGTAGAGAAGAAGTAAGTTCGCGAAGAAGAGGGAGAATAATTGGTGAATGGGGTGTGGAACGATAAGCCTCAAACAGAACTAGGTGATCTGAAAATTGGAAGGTTGATCAAGGTTAGGCTGAAAGGCGTGGGTAACTGAAGCCAGTCTTTTTTCTGCCGTTAAGCCAAATTTGTTCTGATGTACAATGTGTAACATTATTTAGTGTCT